TTCCAAGTTATGAGAACATTAATAACAATGCCAAAAAAAGAGAAAAGAGAATTGGGTGTTGTGAAAATTCTACGTACATATGTGCTAAACTTGATGCCAAAAAAGACTTGCCAAAAATGTAATGATATCTTTATATAAATAAGTAAGATATATTGAGATAAATGGATAAATGGGTGGGTGGGTGGAACTCGAAGTGCGGCCACCTCCTCGTGGTGAGTTCTGGGTTGATTTAACATTCAAAACCGGTTTTATTATCTTGAGTTTTAAATCAAGCGAAGAACTGCACAAAGCTGAATTTTTTTAGTTTTTTAATTTCTCGCCCCTAAGGTCTCAGCTAAATATTTTATTTCTTCACTAATTTTTATATAGGGAGTAAACCACATTTTTTTCACACTAGCCTAAATTAATGTTTATTTGGTAATTTTTGACCTGCCCTATTATACAAGCAGTGCACTATTCCTACAGGTGCTAATACTTTACGCGGAAAGGAGATCCCAATCTGATATAAATATACAATATAAAGAGGCAATGCTCCAGTCAAAATAAACATTTAATTCGATCATTATTCATTTCCCTAGATGATACTTATACCTGCCGTATAATGAACTTATTTTGTAATGCAATAATGTATGACCCTGTATGTAAACTAATAAGATTTTTTTAATAAACAACTCGCAAGTTAAAAGGCAATTATTTTCTATTTTTTGCCAACAATGTCAGCATTTTGTTGATTTTTTCCTTTTACATATTCAACCGCAATCACCCTGTAAGTACGATTTTTTTGTCTCTTTGAAAATAGTACAAGGGGTATATTCTTAATCTAAAACAGTATATCAATATATTTCATATAAGATATTTCTCTTGAAAATATCTACTTTGTCAGTATGTATTTATTGTTTAAAATTCGTATATTTGGTACATATTAAGTTATATTTGGAAAACTAGTCATAGGATCTAATTTTACCAATAAGAATTTTGAACGAGTACATCGAGTACTATACGATATCAAATATTGAGAGACTTTGACGGTGATTTTTTTTTTTCGGTATTTTAGCTAGTTTTGTTCGGTGGGAATACCTACTTTGACCAAAAAAGATTTGCCGAATCATTATTCACCCTGTAAGATACAATATTTTAATTATAGTAGTTAAATATGTAATTTGACTACACAGAATGAGCAAACAACTTCTAAAAATTGTAACATTTTAAAAGCCTAATTATAAAATGTTATTTTAAATGTGTGCCATCCGGTATAATTTAATTATCGCCAACACACAATATTCTAAAGAAAGGGAAATTTCTTGAAGTGGGAGTACCACTAACCAAACGATCGCAAATTAGATTTTTAAATTTCATTTTATTATTACCTTTCGATTGTATCGGTGGTGCATTTGGCTGTTAAAGTGGTAAGCATAAAAAGTATATAATATCTTTATTAAATATCTCAGTAGAAATATTATTCAAACCTTTTGTTAATTATTAGTTTTTTTAATAGTAAAGTTAGATATATTTTTATGATTCATTCTGGTTGCTAGAACGGCACAATATGTATAGTCACTAGTTTTTATTATCTGATTGGTTCATTTTTTTAAAAAAAAGTAGATGTTTCAAATTTATATATCGTACAGAACCACGTGAAAAACAAAATCTATTTTTGTCTAGCAAACGAATGGAATCAGCCATAAGCCATAACGACATAAGCCATAACGACATAAGCCCTAACGTCATAAAACCATAATTCAACCGCTGTAATCTGAACGTTGGTTTTCGAGGAGCAGAAATCTCTTATGAAAAGTTAGTTGATTGGAAAAGCGACAGCTACAATTCGAAGCTTCATAAGAAGAAAGATTAACCGACAAAGGCGTTGGTTTCCGAGGGACAGAAATCTCAACTACCTATGGCTATCTAGAAGTGGTTAGCTAACAAAGTAAAATGTGGTAATTACTAGTGACTAGAATTATTTATGTACGAATCACAATTTGATACCTGATAAGTGTGAATAATTTGTTTTCGAAAAGGTTTCTTTTTTAAATAAAATCATTAATTTTTATAAGTATATCGTCGTCGTAGTTGTGAAAAGTCCTAACCCACAAAAATTCAAAAATTGAGTTAGGGCCATTTTTGATATAACCATAGATTAATTTATCATTTGTGAAAGGTTCTATCAATTACATTAGTAAGAATACACATTTTTGACAAACTTGCTATTGGACTTATCCCACAACTGGATAAAGTGAATAGTTCTATGTCAAATAGAACCATTCACTCCCAAGTATTTTACGCCAGTTCAGGAAAATGACGAATTGTGAAAAGTTCTAACCCACAATCCGTTAATTTTCACCGACCGTTGTTTACAAAATTTAAGTCAGTTAGTTGTTTCTTGAAAAGTGATACAGGTCAGTTTATTTACTTTATAATAACATGGATAATTTAACGAGAGGAAAGAAAATTCCCTTGCTAGCTGTGAAAAAAAATATATGTACCACTGTACAGGTAAGCAATATTATTATCTTAAATAATGTTTTATTATTTAATCATTATAAAAAAGTGTGTTCTCCTTGTTAACATAACCTTACTATTTGATTACAAAGTTATTAAAGTGTTGCCAGGCGTTGCAGAAGATATTTATTTTGAAAAAAAATATAAAGGTTGTTTTTATTTGGATGTATTGTTAGATTTTAAGATTAGACCAACAGAAAAAATATTAAACATATTTTTTAAATTTGATACGTGTTTTGAAGCTTAAAAGAATGCCTGTTTTAGTAAATTATTATAATGTTATGTGGCTTGTAATTATTTTTTTTAAAAAAAGCTTTAAAATGACTTTGGTCGATATATCACCACAGAAACGAGGCAAAAAAAATAATTTCAGGATATTTATTTTCAAACATTTTTTTATTGTAAATGAACGCGTTTTGTTTTTTTTTATTGAATTTTAGTTTCAAATTAAAGTTTTTTTTACGCATAGTAGAAATAGGGGTTAATAGGAAATATCGGGGAATATTAAAAAAAATTAGATAGTTTTAATTGATTCGTTGTGTATTTTCTTATTAGAACTGAATATAATTATGATTTTTCTTTTCATAGATGAATAATGGTTTTGAAGAAAATATGCCGAAATTAAGCCCCTCTGTTAAAGCATCTACAAGTTTGGATCTAGAAGATTTCCAGTTTGGCGCTTCAACGTCCTCAGCTTCAATCTCCTCGCAAAGAGCCACACCTATGCGTAATTATTACGATTTGGCCGATAATGATTGGGAAGATGTCAGTGATGACAATGATGAAAATTATCAACCAAACGAATCAAACAGAGAATCTTCCGAAACCGAGAGTGAAGTAGATAACAAAAAAATTAACCAGAAAGAATCTATGGAAGTGGAAACACACATTAAAGTAAATAAGGAATTTAAAAGAAAAAAGTCGCGAAATCCAGAAGAATGGGCAAGAAATAAAGAAAGAAAAAAAAGAATGGAAGGTGCAGAATATAGGACCCAAAAGGGAAGAGACAAGCGAGCACGTTTTGTAAAAGATGTTGATTGCCATTGATTGCCCTTTAACTATATAAGGAAAGGCTAAATGACCCGGAATTTAAATGTATAAAAATAAGAAAACTTGCAACAAGAGCAAATAATTCGGACTTATTGGAAGTGAAATCCTTATATTCAGCTGCATTGCCAATTGAAAATTCTAAATTAAGAAGTTTAAGAAAACTATGTGATTCAGGTACCATTCCATCAACTTATCACGCATTTTACACTGGCTTGCTTAGCCAAGAAACTGCTGATGATAATTCTTCATCGGTGGAAAATTAATGTTTCAATGTATTTTTTTACTCAAATAAATTTCGTTAGACACACATTTTTTTTTAATTATACTACCTAAAATAAGTAGTCAATTATGTGTTAGGACTGCTAAAATATAAATACTTTTGTAATATCTGGAAATTGTGAAAGGTCCTAACTCACAAAGTTCTAAAATTATGTAAAAAATAATAAATATAATCACATTTATGTATTTGCTATTATATTACTAACTTCACGCTTAAATTAGAGCCAGATACGATTAGTACTTAAAACAATATGACCAAAAAACATAGTATTTAATAAACAGAAAAATTTCAATATTAAATTTCTCCAAACTCATTTGTGGGTTAGGACCTTTCACAACTACGACGACGATATATGTTGAATCTTATTTTTTAAAGGTCACAAAAAATTCTCTTTTATTCACTAAATTCTGTATAATTTTTATTAACTTCTTTTTATTGATAAAGCTAGAATTTATAATTCTCACTAGCTTTTAAAAATAAAAAAGAGAATTATTGGTGCCCAACATTTCCTAGAAAGATTACTACCCTTAAAATTGTCTATTTAAAAAGCCGAATTCACGACCGAGAAAAAGATGTGCTCATTTATTTTTTTTTTATTTTTAAAGGTAAGTAACGTTTGATATTAAATTTCACTGAGCTAGTAAAAATCTCTATAAGTGTTTTGAAATTAACATTTATCAAAAAGGTAACAAATAATATTGCAAATTGTAGCCTAACGGGTCAATGGAATATTGCAAAATATTTAAGGGTGATTTATGGTGTCCATTTTAAAGAATTAGGGATTTCTAACTTCAACACCCTGTATCTCAAAATCTAGTCATAGGATACGATTGGGCCCATGGACACTTTTGATGGGGACATCAAGTTATTTAACATATCAAAAATTCAGACATTTTGACGGTACTCCCGTTTGCATAACAAAAGTGCGTGGTCCTTTGCACGTTTTATAGCAAATTTCAAAAACTGCTTTAATTCTTGACTTCTGGTTGTTCGACGACCACCTATAGGCAAAAAAAAATAGAAGAAACGTTATGGATTTTAGGAGTTAATTAAAAGTAGAATAAATTTAAAACTTTACGATAAAAATATATTTATTTACATAAGTTACATATTTATATTAATACTATAAGATTATATACATATAATAAATACATTAAAATAATAATTTTTTTAAACATATTATGGTTATTTAATAATACACCCTTAAAAAATATATTTACAAAAAGGAAGTCTTATTATTTTATAACTTTAATATTTGTAGATGTATGCTTATTATACTACAACATTCCAAGGTTTAAAACTGCCTGGTTCAGGTTCTTTTATCTGAAACATAAAAAAAACAAATATTAGAAAAAAATCCTCTGCGTCAATATCAAAAATAAGATTCTCAAAATAGGAAATAGAATAATAGAAGTACATGAAGAAAAAATAAGCAGCGTACAAAATTATGTATGCTAAAGAACATTCTCGAGTCTTACCTTTAACGTAATTTCATCTTCACAAGCCATTCTAATTTTTGCTGACGTTACTGGTGCATCCAACCGGAAATATCTTTCTACATTATTTTCTTCTCTTGCAGCTTGGATTGCATTTTTAATGGCAAAGAGTACAGAACTTCCCAAGAACAAAGGAGGCTCACCAACAGCCTAAAATGAACAAAAATTAATTATAAACAAATATAAAAATAAAACAAAACCTAGGTGAAATATGTGAAAACATTCGTTACACATTAAGTTTTTTAATTTGGCAAATTTAAATGTTTTTAAGTATTCGTTTGTCATTTTGTTTAATCAAAACCCCTTATTTTCATTTCCTTACTACTTTTATAAAATTAAATTAGAAAAAACATTATAGTCAATTAATTATTATTGAACTTTACCTTCGAAGAATATACGGCTCTTGGATTAGAAACTCCTTTCAATATAGAAACATTGAACTCTCCGGGTATATCTGCAAAACCGGGAATTTTATACGTTCCTGGACCCTTGGTTAGGGTTTCTCCTTTTGGAGAGTATACCATTTCTTCAAGGACGAATAATCCGTATCCTTGCATAAAAGCACCTTCGATTTGCCCGACATCTATGGCTGGATTTAAACTTTCACCTAAAAAAATTAATGTAATGAGAATAATAATTTTTGTTTTCATACAGCTGTTGCCCGTGACTTCGCACGCGTGTAGTCGTGTTTTTAATATAAAAAAATACATGACTTCCCAAAAAAAGGAGGGATAATATGTTTTTTAGGGTTTATGATATGAACAATAGTGCAATGTATTTCAAACTAAGCTCACGGGCATTATCATTGCAGCAAAAAAAGTTGCCAGAAACAATATCACTGAAAGAAACATGCTGGCGTATACAGATAGCAGACAAGCACTACACAGAGAGACCACGAATTTACTCAGTACTAGAGTGTCACGAAGCTTTGGCAGAAGTATCCATCAACAATGTGGTCACTTTAAGAATCAAAGGTCACGCCACATCGAAAGTTGCCGTCTTGTTGTTTCAGAAGCCAAGAAGGCAACCAACCAAATACTTTTTGGACTTGGCCTTTCTATTGAACTAACAGTGACAAACCTAATTAAAGAACTTTCCCTTGTGAAAGCAAAGATGTGATAAAACAAGAAGTTGTAGAGTTATCAGGGAGTAGTGATGCCGCGAGACGAAAGATTCTCGTCTCTCGTCTCGTCTTGTCTCGTCTCGTACGAGAAGAGAGAGACATTTTCTCTCGAAAAAAGGATCGAGGCGAGACGAGAAAGTGTCATCTCTCGACGAGAATTTCTCGTTTCTCTCGAGCTCTGTCGAGTTCTCTCTCGCAATTAACTTTTTACTTCTTCAAAATTTTCAATTACTTATCGTAATATCATATTTCCAGATAGTCAAAAAGTTAACTATAAAACACCCATTCTATATACACAGTGAGTTTTTTAAATATGGAACGCCTCAATTATCTCGGACTTGCACGATTTTTATTTATGGTGACCCATCAAATGCGATCCGAAAAAAGCGCTCCGACAAAAGCGCCCCGACAAATGCGCTTCTCGACATAAGCGCCCAAGACAAAAGCGCCACCCGAAATTTCTTTGTAAAAAAAACTAACCAAAGGACAGAATCGTAATAATTTCCATGCAGTCAAATTTTTCGGAGGTTACTTTTGGAGATAAATTAGAAAGACAACAATTTTTAAGTGTTTTTTTTTTTCGAAAAACTGTCAAAGAAAAAGTAAAAGAAACGGACGTATAATATATTGTTAACATGCTTCAAAATTCTTGCATTTGATATCACACGAAAAAAATTATAACTTCCAAATGAAACCCTACCCCCTCCCAACTGACTTCTAAGACAAAGTATTTATAGCAGGGGCAGAAGTTGGAAAGACTTTTGCTAGTTCTGCCACTTCATACACATAACTTGACAAGTTTGCGACGGATCTAACCAAAGTGGACGCGATACATTGGCGTACAAAATTATTTTTTAGATGTTAATAACAATTTCGAGTAAATAGTTTAATAAATTGTGAATAGCTGTTGAAATTTTGTAGAATTATGATTTGGGTATTATAATACATATTTAATAATTATTCATAGTCCATAAATACATGCGACTCTCCAGTTCTTATTCTATGAAACGACTCTGGCAGGTAAACATTACTGCAAAATTCTAGAAATCGTCCGACGTGGTTTGACATTTACCCCCTCTCTACCTACCAAAAGCCTTTCCAACTTCTGCCTCTGCTATACACTCTTAGTTAACGCCCAATTTGGGCCACCGATTACTTTAAATTTCAATTGTTTACGTCAAATAGTGTCTAAGTAAAACGATTGTGATAGACGGAGAGGCAGAGAGTTACCAAGGTAATTTCCTCAAGTGTTTCTTATTGCAAATTTGGGTATTGATGAGACACATTATTTGTTATTGTCTTCAAAATTTTATGGTTTTTCCAAATTTAAATTTGATGTTTTTATCACGAGAGAAACGAGACGAGACAAGACGAGACGAGAGAATGGCTCTCTCGATCGAGAGAAGCGCCTTCTCGTCGAGACGAGAGATAGTACAAGGTAATTAGCTTATTCAAACTAAAAACAAAATATAAAGCTAAAAATTTGTTTTAAGGTACATTAGGGGTAACTTAATAAAATGTTTTAGCCTTGCAGCTTGTGCGTGATGGTGGACAGCTGCCATTGACCGCCATATTGGAAGTTATAAAAAAAATTGTTCCACAAACATTTTTTATTTTAAAATTAAATTACAATGAAATGAATTATTAAAAATATGGCAAAAATGCCAGGAAGGAACTATTTTCCAATTATTTCAAGCGCCACCATATGCTTTTGGTTTAAATCGAACCAAATTAACCTAAAACAAAAGAAAACTTCGTTGATCTGCTTGAAATCTGAACAGTTTAGTTGGATAATCTGGATGGCCCAGGTTCGTTTGGATCAGTAATATAATTCTCTTCTAAGGAGCATTCTTGTACCTCCGACTGTTCTTCCTCGTCAACTACCATGGAAGGTCTGTTGCTGCATGCTTCACCATTGCATTTTCCACACATTGGGGTACATGGCGACTGTCAAATCTTTGGGCACAGTCAGTTTTACAGTTACAAAAAACCAACTTCAATATAGTTTCGGGGGCCAGAGGTTCTAGTGTAGGAACCGGCAACAGTTGTTCCTCTTTTTTCATCCATCCCCACTCAGTAGCAGGAAGTTGGACCCCACGCCAAGACTGGACTTGATGAAAAACTCTGTAGCTGTGTTGTTTTGCTGCTCTAGATGTTGGTGGTAGTACTGACAGATCAAACTTTCCATAAACTGGTTGTTTAGCTATAACCTTTTTATAACAGTTGTTTTGCTTAAGTCATCTAAAGATACGCGACCGTTATATAATAATTTTAAGAAATACTCTCCGGCGTGAGCAATATCTTCTTTAGTTGTATTTATATCATTGAATGCCGAAACCTTTTGCCTTAATGACTGGTTCGATTGCAAAAGTTTAAAAGCTTGTTTTTTGCCTTTATTAAAAAGGGAAGAAGTTGTATCGCAACCTGTAACTGCATGGAGAAAAGCAATGTGATTTTTTACATCCCCAAGGGCTTCTTGGAGTAGGTTGCTATTAAATACTTTTTGTAGCCTAAACTTTGTTGCTGGAATTAACATAAAACATTCGTTATTACTTCTTACTACAGTTATCATTATGACCAGGAGATCAGTGTCTTCGCCGACTATAACTCCGTTCTTATTTTCAGTACAAAATGTGACAGCTGTATTCACGATGTGGGTATCGGCATCTCCAGGAGAAATTTGAACTTTAAATTTAGCAGGTGTATGTTTTACGGCCAAGAATGAAATAAAGTTAGTTTTGTTGGAGGTATTGTTCAGAAATTCTGACTGCGTACAAGAAGGAAAAATTGAATCACTTACAACAATATCCACGGATTTCTTAGCTTTATTTGTTCTTCTAATATGTTCTGCATTCTTCGTACCGTACTCACTTTCATTGTAGCCATCAAAAACAATAGTACTTTCAGGGCCATAATGTCTTTTAATATAGTCGATATAACTGTCACATATTTGGGAAAATGAAGCAGGTTTTGGCCAAACTACTCTATGCAAAAGGTAACCACCGTCTATCATAAAACAAGGTTCTAAAGGTAATTCCACAGCTGTTGGACAACATTCCTTTATGATACCAATTAAAGATGACTTTTTTCCTTTTCTCAGTGAAATAGAATCAAACAGAGATGTTGGCCGTGGAGCTTATTCATACTTTAAACATGACTGCAGTTCTTCGTCAGACTTTACGGTACAAAGTATTCGATGGAAGAGTTGATTGGAATTGATATTAATTTCTTCATTGCCGACGTTTATTGTTTTCATAACAGCTGCCATGTTTTTCACCTTATCTTTGCGCAAGAACGTTGCTTTATTAAAATATTTTCCAACAAACTTGTTTTGATTTTCGTTAGATTCCTGCTCTTTCTCTTTTATACGCCGTATATACATATATCTACATTTCGTATGTACTTCCACAGAGTCTTTGTTTTCAAGCAATATATGCACATTATCATTTCAAAGAACACTCATCCTTTTAATATTTTCAATTCCTTTTTGCACTTTAACTCTTTGTCCACCAATTAAAGTTTTCTCACACAAAACACAAACTTCAGAAGTTTCCATATTAGGAAATCAAAAACAAAAAGTTATTTCTAAAAAAAAATTTAAAAAAAATCTGCGTTATTCGAAAACTAGACGCGACTCATCTAGACTGCACGTTCAGAAACTGACTGATAAGAAGCGCCGCGAGCCGTCTGCCGTCTCTTGTTTCCATCCCTCCCACGTCCCCACCACACGGCACACTCTGCAACACCAGAAATTAAGAATTGCTATACTAAAATAAACTCTTATACAAATTTTTAGCTTTATATTATGTTTTAAGAAATCTTCACTAATAATTGGCTAATTACCCTGTACTAAGAACAGTTTTCTCTCGCCCTACGAGACGAGACGAGAGAGGCCTCTCTCTCGTCTCGTCTCGTCTCGTCTCGTCTCGTCTCGTCTCGTCTCGTCTCGTCTCGTCTCGTCTCGTCTCGTCTCGTCTCGTCTCGTCTCGTCTCGTCTCGTCTCGTCTCGTCTCGTCTCGTCTCGTCTCGTCTCGTCTCGTCTCGTCTCGTCTCGTCTCGTCTCGTCTCGTCTCGTCTCGTCTCGTCTCGTCTCGTCTCGTCTCGTCTCGTCTCGTCTCGTCTCGTCTCGTCTCGTCTCGTCTCGTCTCGTCTCGTCTCGTCTCGTCTCGTCTCGTCTCGTCTCGTCTCGTCTCGTCTCGTCTCGTCTCGTCTCGTCTCGTCTCGTCTCGTCTCGTCTCGTCTCGTCTCGTCTCGTCTCGTCTCGTCTCGTCTCGTCTCGTCTCGTCTCGTCTCGTCTCGTCTCGTCTCGTCTCGTCTCGTCTCGTCTCGTCTCGTCTCGTCTCGTCTCGTCTCGTCTCGTCTCGTCTCGTCTCGTCTCGTCTCGTCTCGTCTCGTCTCGTCTCGTCTCGTCTCGTCTCGTCTCGTCTCGTCTCGTCTCGTCTCGTCTCGTCTCGTCTCGTCTCGTCTCGTCTCGTCTCGTCTCG